GGATGATTAAATTTAGCAGGAAAAAACAGCGACACCACCTAAAAAAAGGGGGAAAACAGCGATAAAACCCAATTAGGAGATGCGAGGAATCGAACCCCATGCCTCTATTCCTCATTGATTAGTACTCTACCAATTGAGCTACATCCCCTTTCACATGCATTGCAGTTATTTATATGTACACACCAAAACTAGAGTGGTCTTCTTTCAGTTTGTGAATATGTATTATTCTACTTTGGATCCGTTGCAACACACGAGCACGTTGCTAGTACTTCTAAAACACTATGAAAACATCATCATGATTCCGACACATAACTTTAAAATAGCACAAGCTTTTAGACAATTTGTCTTTTTATACAGAGAAGTTTATACTACAGCCTAAATTTGTCTTAGGGTTCACTTTACAACCCTAAATTGTACTTTGGTTCAAGTTTCACGACCATTTATAATACAACTTTGAGATGGATTAATCTAATTTCGATTAATCTTCTGCGTTTGCCCTCCCACCTGTGATCCTCTGTTCCCGTATCCTCACCTACAACACTTTTGCACATGATTTGAAATACCTCGGTGAAAAGTAAGGAACTAGGTATGGAATTTATTTATTTTTGGAAAGAAAGACATTGAATGAGGAAGGGAGAATAGAAAACTTGAGTAGGGGAGAAGTGGGAACCAGAGAGAGCATCGAGGAAGCTAGAAACTAAGATCAGGGAAGGATATGGAATAGAAGACAGAATTAGGAGAAAGAGAAAGCGGCATGACGCCTGTCGCGGGCAAATCGCCCAAGTCGTCGCTCAAGTTACTGTAGGAGGGGGAAGTTTTGGTACTATCAGTTCACTGCTCTCTTTTTTTTTTGAGCGAGGCTATCAGTTCACTTCTGCTACTATTGTCTTGGACAGAACCTTGAGGCCTGGCAAAAAGAAAAAAAAACTGGAATGACAAAAGGCCGCAGGCTCCACTTGCTGATTGTCTCACTTTAGGCGGCGATGCTGCCGAATCATGGGCAGACGAATCAGCCCATGCTCAATCGCATAGCCTTTTTTCTTGTTGACGGATGATTAAATTTAGCAGGAAAAAACAGCGACACCACCTAAAAAAAGGGGGAAAACAGCGATAAAACCCAATTAGGAGATGCGAGGAATCAAACCCCATGCCTCTATTCCTCATTGATTAGTACTCTACCAATTGAGCTACATCCCCTTTCACATGCATTGCAGTTATTTATATGTACACACCAAAACTAGAGTGGTCTTCTTTCAGTTTGTGAATATGTATTATTCTACTTTGGATCCGTTGCAACACACGAGCACGTTGCTAGTACTTCTAAAACACTATGAAAACATCATCATGATTCCGACACATAACTTTAAAATAGCACAAGCTTTTAGACAATTTGTCTTTTTATACAGAGAAGTTTATACTACAGCCTAAATTTGTCTTAGGGTTCACTTTACAACCCTAAATTGTACTTTGGTTCAAGTTTCACGACCATTTATAATACAACTTTGAGATGGATTAATCTAATTTCGATTAATCTTCTGCGTTTGCCCTCCCACCTGTGATCCTCTGTTCCCGTATCCTCACCTACAACACTTTTGCACATGATTTGAAATACCTCGGTGAAAAGTAAGGAACTAGGTATGGAATTTATTTATTTTTGGAAAGAAAGACATTGAATGAGGAAGGGAGAATAGAAAACTTGAGTAGGGGAGAAGTGGGAACCAGAGAGAGCATCGAGGAAGCTAGAAACTAAGATCAGGGAAGGATATGGAATAGAAGACAGAATTAGGAGAAAGAGAAAGCGGCATGACGCCTGTCGCGGGCAAATCGCCCAAGTCGTCACTCAAGTTACTGTAGGAGGGGGAAGTTTTGGTACTATCAGTTCACTGCTCTCTTTTTTTTTTGAGCGAGGCTATCAGTTCACTTCTGCTACTATTGTCTTGGACAGAACCTTGAGGCCTGGCAAAAAGAAAAAAAAACTGGAATGACAAAAGGCCGCAGGCTCCACTTGCTGATTGTCTCACTTTAGGCGGCGATGCTGCCGAATCATGGGCAGACGAATCAGCCCATGCTCAATCGCATAGCCTTTTTTCTTGTTGACGGATGATTAAATTTAGCAGGAAAAAACAGCGACACCACCTAAAAAAAGGGGGAAAACAGCGATAAAACCCAATTAGGAGATGCGAGGAATCAAACCCCATGCCTCTATTCCTCATTGATTAGCATTCTACCAATTGAGCTACATCCCCTTTCACATGCATTGCATTAATTCAAGCCAATAATATTAATTAACTGACTGCAATCAAGGAAAATATTTGCCATAAATATATCCCAATAAAAACGTGAGTTTGTTTTTATGTAGGCGTGAAAGCTATATATGAAAAGGGGGAAAACAGGGATAAAACCCAATTAGGAGATGCGAGGAATCGAACCCCATGCCTCTATTCCTCATTGATTAGCACTCTACCAATTGAGCTACATCCCCTTTCACATGCATTGCATTAATTCAAGCCAATAATATTAATTAACTGACTGCAATCAAGGAAAATATTTGCCATAAATATATCCCAATAAAAACGTGAGTTTGTTTTTATGCAGGCGTGAAAGCTATATATGCACCATGCCGTTGAGCAGGCTGTACTTAAACTAGTTTCTTCCTATAACAAACAAAACAGTCAGCCGAGACATGACGACACATGGCTAGTTCAGCCACCGAAGGGCACAAACTAAGTCAATTTGTGTGCTCGCTACTATCGATCACACAAGATCATTTTTTTTAATTGTCAACTGATCTCAGAAAATCAGGTTGGGTACAAAGCTCCCATAAAAAGAAAGTTCGGGTACAAAAGCTCCCATACAAGAAAGATTGGGTACGTACAAAGCAAACGATGACATCGCTTAAATTAACGCTGGAGCTTCTCCTATCTACCCAATTATCCATCCTTGAGCTGAGAATCCAACTTATAGCCCAGTTGACGATGCAATCAGCAGTCAATGCAGCGTCGCGTAGTGTTCTTTCTTGCCGACTAATTTTTGCAGAAAAAGGAAAAGCGATAAATAAAAAACCCAATGGAGATGCTATGTATCGATCCCCGTGCCTCTATCCAACATAGATTAGCGCTCTACCAATTGAGCTACATCCCCATTAATATGCATTGCATTCATTTGTGGATTTAATATTTATTAATTAATTACTTGCGACCATGAAAAATATTTCTATCTAGGTCCAGCGATTTTGTTGTTTTAATTCAGTGATTAACTAAACAAAATGATATTCTTATGTAAAACTCCTACTCTGGTAGGTTTTGGCCTTTTATTTGATTTGTATGTGTTGGTACAATTGAGTTCCCCGAGAGTTGTGGAGATTGTTGGATAGAAACAATGAGGGACTAATGTGTTTGCTAGTACACACAGAAAGACTAGTGACGATGCAGAAATCCTTCAGTACCCTCGGTAGAGTTACTAGCATGGCTAGACGTCTTAGATCAGAGGGAACACGGTGGTTTTACCCATGTTGGGGCCTCCTGTGATGAGCAATGCCCTACATCCTTCTTGCTGTTGTCATTCATGGTGGGTATCGCACGTCTTTATTATGGAATATTTTAATCAAGGGTCACACAGGTTTTTTGCGGACAGGTCTTTTGCGTAGGTGTATTCTTTTTTTTTTGCAAAAAAATTACTGATCTATTTATCTTTAATTATGATAGTACAATGAATACTAAAAATAATAAAAATTATATCCACATCCATAGACCACCTAGCGGCAACTACAAGTACTAAAGCGAGC